GATTTGGAGTGCCTTTGGAGATGCATAGGGACCAAGGCAGGAACTTCGAAAGCGATATATTCCAAGGAATATGTGATAGACTAGGCATTAAGAAAACAAGAAATACAGCATATCATCCGCAATTGATAGTATGGTAGAACGGATGAATAGGACAGTTGGCAAGTATTTGACAACGATGGTGTCCGATCATCAGCAGAACTGGGACCAATATCTTCCGTTCTTCACAATTGCCTACAGATCTGCTGTTAACGAATCAATAGGCCAGACACAAGCCAGAGTCCTATTAGGACGCGAGATGCGACTACCTTGTGATCTAGAGTTTGGGTGTCGACCTGGAGAAGATGTAGCGGGTTAAGATTTTGTAATAGAACTACGAAGAAGAATGGACGATGTACACGACTTGGTCCGTTCCCACCTTTAGATCGCTAGCGACCGAATGAAGAAACGGTACAATACACAAACCGAAAAGGGTTGCTTTAAGAAGAACGATAAAGTCTGGCTCTTTAATCCCGAAAAGCGAAATGGTTGTTCTTCCAAGTTGTAGCAGTTTTGGGAAGGTTCATACCTCATTATGGAGAAGATCAACAATGTCATCTACCGAATAAGCAAAATTCCTTGAGGAAAGCCGATGATTTTTTTATTACTATCGCATAAATCTGGATACATTTAACTATAAAATAACTTAACTATAAAATTAATGGGAAAAAACCCCGTAATTGGCTGTATACCATCGTTTAAAAAATCATCATCATCTTTGGCTCGACAATCCTCTGTGGATCTTGGCCTGCTCTAAGATTCGTCGCCATTCTGTTCGGTTTTTGGCAACATGTTGTCATCTTCTGATTTTTAATATTCGTAAGTCGGTTTCTACTCCATCTAACCACCTAATTCGCGGTCGGCCTTTACTTCTTTTTCCTACAGGTGTTCCTGTGGTTAGCTTAGCGTTTAAAAAAACACAGAAGTTAAAACACCTCTTACATGTGTATTGTGGTATAAAAACAAACAAATATTTAAAACTTTATAAAAGTGTCGTCAACATTTAAATTCTGGCAGAACGTTTTCAATCTGAACAGATCATCCTCAGTGCCTTGTGTATTTGTTGCTAACAGTAAAGTTGTCTATAGGACCTCCATGTATGGATTTACAGTATTCCAAATTTTACCTTTAATAATGTTTTGACTCCAGGTCGATGACAGTGGATATATTTTTAAAAATACTTTAGGGACTACATGTCTCCCTGCTCGAATATTAGCACGTGGTACTTGTCAGTTGAAACGACACAGATCGACAGTCGACACACGACACAGGCCAGTTGGTCTGTGTCGTTTTATCGACTGGAGTCGACATCGACCTGGAGTCAAAACATTATTAAATGTAAAATTTGGAATACTGTAAATCCATACATGGAGGTCTTATAGACAACTTTACTGTTAGCAACGAATACACAAGGCACTGAGGATGATCAGTTCAGATTGAAAACGTTCTGCCAGAATTTAAATGTTGACGACACTTTTATAAAGTTTCAAATATTTCTTTGTTTTTATACCACAATACACATGTGTGAAGTGTTTTAACTTCTGTGTTTTTTTACATTTAACTATATTTTAGATGCCATAAGAGAACTAATAAAAGAAAATGTCGAATTTCCGTGAGAACATTTCGCCAGAAGAACGATTAAGTGTGACTTTAAGGTAAATTATAAATACAGTAGTTTTATGCGCTGAAGTGAGAACTACAGATCTCAATGGAAAACGGCTGTTGATAGGAAACATCTTCTCTTCTTACATTTGAATATTGTGAGGTCTAAAGATGAATAATGATTTGGTATTGATATTAGAGCATTACGATAGAATGACGCTCTGGAGGAATCGGTGTCCGTATAAGACATTGGAGAGGGCAAAGGTGTTGATATAATTGTTTCATTGGAAAGATATGCTGCTCGGTTCGCGTGCTTGTAGATAATTGTTCTTCTTTAAGAAATACTTGCTGCAACCTACTTCTCATCATCAATTGTCGATTTTGAGGTACAGCTTTTAAAAAGGGTAGGAGACTCAGTAGGAATTGGCCTTCCCCGTCACTGTCTTCTCTATTTTATGTTGGGACAATATTTCCAATTTGGCTCTTTCTATTTTGAGGAAATTGTCATCCATTGAATTTGTCTCGGAATTCTTAGCATATTTCAGATGATTTTTTGTGGTTTTTTTACTTTGCAAAGTTGTCTTACTAGGTGTACTGAAGGTACTTGTAACTTTATTACCAGATGTGGATGGCTGGTGTATATCTGTATTTACAATTTGCTGTGATAACTCCTGAATGGTTGATTGATAGTATGCATTGTCTACAGCTTCCAATATCGATTCTGTCTCGAAAGAAGAGTTGTTATTATTTCTCTTCTGCGGAGATACATTTCCATAACTAACGATTCTGCACCATCTCCAGATTTCTGTTTTTTGACTTGTTGAAGTCCTTTCGAAATGTGTCTCACAGCCCCCTCCATTATTTTTTACTTCATCAACTGAAACAAAAAAATCGTTACAATTAATCATGTTGTATAGAAGCCGGAGACAGATTCTGCTATACAACATGTAGCTTCTCCTCATAAATTTTAAAGTGTTTGTTTGTCTTAGTGTATTGTATTTTGTATTGTTATGTCCAAATTTTACATTTATGACATTCTACTATGTCGGATAGGCCACAACTGACGAAATGCCCCTGAAGATGATCTATTGATTGAAAGTACTTGGGCAAGATTAAATTAATCACCGTGTTCGATAGTTGCCTTGTATACCCTCAAAATTTAATTATTCGAACATTCAACCTTATATTGAATAAATTTTAATTACAATAATTACAAAACACAAAAACGAAATAAATCATATATCAGAACCTTATCTAGGAATAAATCCTGTGAATATGAACAACAAACCTCTGACAGGCATAACCTAATAAAATATTTGACATTAAATGAATGCGCGAGCATCGAAGACGAATTGTAACAAAGTATGAATAGACGCTTGTGCTTTAATAGGTGTACGATCAATAAAACGGGCTGATTCGCACTTCTTCATCCGATTTCTGACGAATGCAATTCGGACAAAAACGCATCCAAAGGACGACCGGCTTACTCTATACGGCAGATATTTCCACAAGAGTAAAAGCACAATTGCTACATATGCAGACGATACTGTAATAATGGCTTCTAGCTCGGTTCCTGTTACAGCCTGTCAAAATTTACAAATTCATTTAAGTGGTCTAGAGAAATGGTTAAAACTGTGGTGAGTTAAAGTAAATGGCAGCAAATCAGTACATAAAACATTTACTTTACGCAGGAAGTGTACCATGTGTGCGTACAAACAATACCATAATACCCAGAAGAAGTGATATTAAATACTTGAAGGTACATTTTGACAGCCGACTAAATTGTGGGAAGCGCATCTGAAGAAAGCGACTTCAACTAGGATTAATATACAAGAAAATATATTGGCTGATGAACCAAATATCCAAATTAAGTTTACATAACAAATTATTACTTTATAAATGTATTTTAAAGTCAGTTTGGAATTACGGTATACAGATATGGTCTACGGCATCTAATTCTCACTTGCTGAAACTTCAACGTTTTCAATCTAAAGTTTTGAGACATATTACCAATTCACCGTGGTATGTGCCCAATTATGTTATACATCGAGACCTTCAAATCCGAAACATCAAAGACACCGTTGTCTCATATAGTAACGTACAAAAATAGCCTACTGAACCATCCAAATACGCTTGCCCAAGATCTACCTACTGAAGCGACCGAGGAGATGAGAATAAAACGCCGTAATCCCTTAGACTTAGACCTTTCTATACTATGTAAAAAAATTAGTACTTAAGACTTTAAAGAAAATTTGATTGTCACTTACATTAACTGACAGCAGCCTTTGAAGAAATTTTGACACACTTATATTAACTAACTGTAGCCTATTTAGAAATTGGCAGGAATATGAAAACCTTGATGGTAAATTAGTGCTTCTGCAACTACCAATTAATACAGTTGAAACTTATACATAGATAATTATCAGTTAAGAAGTAGGTATACATGTTGATTGAAACCCTCGGAAATAGGAAAATTTAGAAAAACAAAAAAATATTAAAAATAACTTAATTCTTGTATATCTCGTACGCTCAAAAGCATGTGATAACGAAGAATAAAAAAAATGAGATTTAGGTCAATGAATACAAAACTACCCGTATATAGATTGTCGAATTAAATACAATATTCTGTCAATTTGACAAACAATTTTAAATAAAAATATGGGATTATGAAAAATAAGAGACATTTACAATTTATTCTAAGTAACAGTATTATTTTTTAAATTAACTTTAACAAACTAATATATAAAAGTGGAAATTAAACTTAATTATCGCATATTGTACAAAAAAAATACTACTTTAGTTTTAATATTTCATGAACTGGATTATAGCTTAATCATTTTTTAAAAATTATCTAAATAGTTAAGTCTTGATATGAGTGATTGAATGATTTAAAGTCTATGCCAAAAATAAACAAAAAAAATTCCAATATCTGCTTTGAGTTAGACTTTAAATTTATTTTCGTGTTCGTTCCTTAATTTGCCTAAAGTATACCTACAACATTTTTTTTATAAAACGAATAATCCCTAATATATCATATCTCAATGAATGCAAATTAATATACAAAAATATAAATTCTGCCAGGATCTAATAATCCAAAAAATTTTTGATAATATGCTATACTCAAATAACTAAATAGATTACATTCTTTCATTTTACATATAATAAGTGTAGAAAAAAGACTTGCTCACAATTAATTTCATGAAGACAACACACGATAGTGATAGTGGTCAAAAGACTCCGCCGACTGCAGTCAACGGGAGAGAGGGGGCTCTTTCCCCTGGGGCCACAATCGTCTAAAATCTAGGTTAGCGATCCGTGGGGATGTAGGCCGAGTATATACGCGGCTTCAACGTTTAACTGACAGTTCATTCATAGTGATTCTTTGCTGCTACTCTTTGGAATAACCTTTGGTAAGTTTTTGTCATTCAGTGTCTTCCTTCTAGTGCTTACGTTGTTGAATTTGAGTAACGGGATTGAGTTATCGCTAGCGCGAGCATTGAAGTCTTCCAATATGAAAATAATGTAAAAAATCTAAGTGAAGTGAATTGACAAGTGCCACATTTTGAGTAAAGGATATACAATGTGTAGCAATAAGATTAATTAGATCGTGAAGTGCTGTTAAAAATTTTTTCAGCCAAATGTATTTTTTCATTTTCAATAAAATAAATAGTATTTAAACTATTCAAATCTTCCTTAACTGTTAACTAAATGTTACTGAAAAAATTCTTTCTTAAGAAAATGTTTTCAAGTCTAAATTACTGTTAATAATGATTATGCAACTGTGTTTACCGCTAGGTTTTATGTTCTTTCAACAACATTCTAACATTTAACTTTTATGGCGTCCTTACATTTTGTTTGAATATCAATAAAAATGTACCTAATTTTCAATTATATTTCTTTATTTCTATTTGCTTCGTATTAGTTGCAATATTTTAATTTTTGTATTTTTCAAAATTCAATTCCGGGTTTTGACAATACCATTATAAATGATCATGTATAAGTTTTATACAACACGTCACTATGCCAATTAAATTACATCAAGAATTTGACAAAAAAGGGAAAACATTTAAGTGTTCAAGGTATTTAAAGATTGATAAAAATTAATATTGATACAACTGACTAAGCTATATTAAACAGCAAAAAAAAGATTATTAATGAGTGACGCAAAATACTCTCTAAATACTTTAACCATTTTTTATTTTTGAAATTCTTTTTTTTGTGCAAAAATTATTATCATCATCATATATGATATACCATATGATATATGAGACTTTGCAAGATTCGATCCATTAAGTTTTTATTGAGATATGTTTAATTGTTTATAAAAATTCTTAACATTCCATAATTTTTGCAGAGACAGAACATAAAAAATATAAAAATTTAATTCTAAACCTCTCTTCTTGGTCAATTATATTTTTATTTATTTATTTTTATATAGGAACATTTATATATATATATATATATATATATATATATATATATATATTATATATGTATATATATGTATATATATATATACATATACATGTATATGTATATATATATTTATATATATATATATATATATATATATATATATATATATATATATATATATATATATATATATATATTGTATAGAAAAATATTTGCTTTAAAAATGTTTAAATCGCTCATTTATTGCTTTGAAGTATGGACAACTTTTGTATATATATATATATATTATATATATATATATATATATATATATATATATATATATATGTTAGGTATTATTGACTGACACGTTATGTAAAATAAAGTTTTATTTTGAGGTTGCAGTCATTAATAGGGCAGGATAAGTGAAACTCTTTGTTCTTTTATCAAGCAATGAAATTAGAATTAAAAAAACATTGTATAAAAGTAGTATAAAAACTTAAAACATGAGGTTAATCCATTAAATTTTTAAATTGACAAAACATTAAAACTTAACTTATTCAAATTATATATTTATGTAAGTACAATATTTAATTTTATTTAATTTTGTATAAATTCATTGTGACATTGATTATTATATTGATGTTTGATTTATGTCAGAAAGACACTCGTTTCTGTTTATTATATTTTTTGTTGTTGATAACTAGTTCTCGATTGATATTATGGTTATGTACAAAGTGGCGCCAAATATGAATACTTATTTAAATTTTCTTTAATTTTTGAAATTATACTATTTATAGTCAGAAAATCCAATATTAGAAAATTATAGTATTAATTTTCATGAGACAGAATGTAATTATAGATATTACTTAGTTTATCAATATCAGTTTTTTTATTTACGCATTAATATTTATTTATGCACACCATTTTTAAGAATTTTCTTTTATTTAATTGGTTTTCACGTCTTAATATATTAGTTTCATTGGAATTTTCGCATGGTATTATATAAACTACATTTTTATACTAGTTTTATACAATGTTTTTTAATTCTAATTTCATAGTATTTACTGATACCATATTTTAGCATATCCTGAAGAAGCAAATAAATTTTGCGAAAGCTTGATAAAAGAACAAAGAGTTTCACTTATATAAACTTTATTTATATTATATTATATTATTATATTATATATATAATATATATTATATATATATATATATATATATATATATAAACATATATTAGACGCTTTCTCTTATAGTTGTAAGTGTAATATATAAAAGAGAAAACATAAACTGCTGAATTCTTTACAAAAAACCGGAGGCGATTGCTAGAGGAATGATCCAAACAGATAAAATATGCACTCTGTGTGTATAGGAATTTTAGTATTAGAATTTATTAAAAAGGAGAAAATTAGAAAATTATGTGCAGAAAGGCAGATTGTTGTTAATTATATAATTTAGCTCTTCAGGCCTAGTAGGCCCATAGCTTGATTTACAATTATTTTCCTTTTTTCCTGTCTTTTGCTTTGTCCTTCCAATTTGGAACTTTAAGTTTTTCTATGTCTTTTTTAACCTTTTCTTTCATCTGGTTGTCGGCCTATCTTTCCTTTCCTTTCTCCCTATTTCTCCCGTTAGTATTCTTATGGGTAATGTCGTGTTTGGCATCTTTTGGATATGGCCCAATCATTTTAATTTGTGTGATTTTATAATCCCTACGATATTTGGTTCTCCATACATCATCTCTAGTTCTATATTTGGTCTTTGTATCCGCATTCCATTTCATAGCTTTCTTGTAAATATTTTCCTGAGGATTTTTTTCTCCCACACTTTGAGCATGACTTGTTTTGATTTTTTCATCGTTCTTGTTTCACTCGCATATAATCACTGTCACTTATTACTATCTTATATATTCTTATCTAGATTCCGTTCTAGATATGTTTTTTACTTTTTAATAAGTTATTTAGAGCAAAGATACATCGATTACCAGCAATAATTCTTGTTTGGATTTCTTCGGTTGTTTTTGGTTTCCTGTTAAATGTCGCTCCTAGTTAATAGAATCTTTCTTCTTGTATGTATTCTCGTTCTCTCCATTTTATATATTTGGTCTTTTTGTTATGTATGTATACCTCTATTATTTAGTATTTCTTTTAATTCATGGTTATTTCTGGCTATCAGCAGTAGTGTTATTTATTATGTTATAATTTAATTTTATATGTTATATTTATTGTAATTTATGTCCTAATTTATTTCGTTTATCTTGTTTTATTTTACATTCCTCATTAAACCATTCTTTCTATTTATCTTTTATATTTCCATTAGGTACTGTCTTGCGCCACTTTCATCATACATACTTTCATTTGTATCCATGTTTGTTCAATATTTCCATGTTCTACAATATTATCTAATTCTCTAGTGTTTTATCTTTTATATTTATATTGTTTTTTTTCTGTCAGTAGTCTAATAGTTTTTAGGTTTAGTTGATTTGTGTTTTTTTGCTGGTTTGCAAGAACTGGTATAAGCTGCTTGATTGGTATTTCGACTACAAAATGATTTATGTCTACATCTAATCCACTGTATGCTCTTATGTTGTTTATACATTTTCGATGACTTTTTCGACGAGTACATAATCTATTTGTTTTATAGTTTTCCCATCTGGCGATCTCTACGTCACTTGGTGTTTTCGTGTGTGTTGGAAGTAAGTGCTGATAATGATCATTTTTTCTTTTGCAAAATCTATTTGCAAATCTAAAAGTGACCATTTTCGTTCGTTATTTCATGCAAGTTATGTTTTCCTATGGATGGTAAGTATATTTTTTTTTTTCCTATTTTTGCATTAGCATCACCTTGTACTATTCTTACATCGTATTCGGGAATATTTTTGAGTACTATCTCTATTTGATTATGAAAGTCTTCCTTTAAGTATTTCTATTTTTTTTTTAATGTATATCCTCTTCAATCAAACGTCTTTTGATACTCTAATTAAATATACTTTTCTCTTGTTAAATTTAAATTTAGTCAATCAATTTAATAATAATAAAACTTGTGACAATTACACATTTTTTTTGTTATTCTATTCTATTAGATAAATCTTGTCATATCATACCTAACGCGTCACGATGAGACGAGATGAGACGACATGCCCAAATCCTTTTGGCATGTTGTGATATTTGACTTTTCTTTGTCATCCTATTCTATTCCCTAAATTTTGTCATATGACATACCGTACAATATTTTAAATTGTTCAGGAACTATAAGCTTATGGTCTTCTTGACAATTGAGCCTCTGACCCCAACCCTTTATTATTTACTTCTTGAGCTATCCCCTTTCTAATGACCCCTCATACGTCAAGATCCAGGCAACCTAGGTACGCAAATGTGACCCCTATTGCAAAGTAATAAATAAGGGGTAGAACAACGTACTGAGCAAATATTTTTATTTCTACAAAAAAATATAATCGACAATGAAGAGAATCCGTTTAAAATTAGATCTCTATCTTAAAAAATAAAGTTCTTGTCCTGCAAAATTTATAAACATTTATAAAGACTTAAACATATCTCAAACAGGAATTGACCGATCGGATCTTAGTCTCATTGGATTTGTAGTTAAAAGAACTACACCATTATGCTTTTTGCATAAAAACGGAATTTTTACAAAAGTTTAAATTTTGATTAGATTAAATTTAGATTAAATTTTGACAAATTTAATCTAGCGTAGCTCACATCAAATATTATTGTATGAACTTTTATAATGTTATACTGATTTTACCCTTAAATATTGATTTAATACAAAATAAATAAAAATACCCGTTTTTGCACCTTAAAAGAATCATAATAAAATTATAACAGTTTGGAGTGGCACGTACTTGGAGGTTACTCCATACATTGCCCTTCATAACGCTGTTTCAAAAATAAATTCAAATATATAGCTAGTCAATATAGCCAGTCTGGTCAACCAATTAAAAAATCATGTTTTATTAAACCTAGGGACGATTGTTCGAACGCTAATCAAAACTTAA